CTGATTTAAAATTCTTTTTTGGACACCTTGATATTGACCAACCATATTGGCACCGTTATCGAAACCCTGTCCACGGCAGTCAGCTATATCAATATCATAATCTTTTAATTTTTCTAAAAGTACATTCGAAAGATTTAACCCAATAGAAGAACAAATACCTGTAAAATCTATAAAGAATTCCTTAATAGTAGAATTTGTAAATTCATCGTCTAAACTCTTGTCTACAATTCTAATAACTAAAGAAAGTTGCTCTTGGCGGCTTATGTCTGGCGTACAATCCATAATAATGTCATAATATTTGGCAGATTTAATTTTTTGAATAATTTTTTTATTTATTTCGCTGGCCATTATCTCAATTAACTCATTTTGTATATCATGCCCTATGTAATGAGTATGAGTTTTATGATCTCTTATTCTTTTTAAATGTTCAAAAATGAAAAGGTCAAATTTGGCAAACATTTCCATCAGACCTAAAAATTTGCCATTATTAGGTTGGTAAAGAATGTCCGTGTTACCTCTAAATGCGTCGCTATGCTTAGCCAAAAAATGTATTGCCGCTATAATACGCTTTAAGACTTCTCTCCAATGATTTTTTTCTTTTTCTATGAGTATCTGATGGGCTTTATCAATAGTCTCTAATTTTCCTAATCTTTGCCTCAATTCTGACCAATCAATTGCACTTTTTATGTGTGCTTGAGAAATTTCATGCGTTTTCAACCTTTCAGATATATTTTTCAAGTCCCTTAAACCAACAGTAGCCAAAGAACTAATACGTAGATTCGTTGTGTGACTTGGAAAAAGTTTACAACAAAAACAATAGACGCGATCACTCGAAACACTATATACTAGCCACTATAAACTCACCATTAGATAATTTTCTAGAACACAAACTATTAGAAAATTGTCTTTCAGTTTTATCAATTGAGCTAATATGATATTTTATATTAATATTTCTTCTTGATCCAAGTTTGACTAAACCAACTTTTAGGTAGGAATTTATAGAATCTGGCCAGTTATAAGGGTCTGTTAAATCTATTAATAAGATTTATAGTTGTTGAATCTAGATTATGCGATATTTGATTTACACTTTTTTTACTTGAAGGTGGTAAAGTAATATCTAAATTTTCATTAAAAACATTTTCCATGACGCACTGTGGTTTAAATTGGTCTTGTTTATTTAATATTTGTTCATTATTAGAATTAGAAGTACTATTAGACTGCGGTAATTGAAAAAATCGCGACTTTGATCCTCGTTGTTTTTTTATAAATTCTTCTTTTTTTTGTTTTTTAATTCTTTTTTGGTGCCCAGAGGGATAAGAACGAAATTTATTGCGATCGTGATTGTCTATAGTATATTGGATAAATAACTAAAAATAACAAAATTATTTTACTGATTGCTAAATATCGATTATTTATATAATTATGTGTGAACATCTATATATTTACTATGACTACATAAGATACCAGAAATATAAATTATTATGTTGAAAATACTCTTAAAAAGTATTCAGAATATTAAAAAAATACTTTAAAAACATTGTATTTAGAATAGATACCAAAAAATACTTCAAAAAGTATTTTAATACTTGTATTCAAATACTAAAACTGATTAAAACAAATAAATTACAAAATTACTTAAGATACAAAGAGCTATGTTGAAATATATATGTATTTTTTTAATAGCAGTCCGCACTCCTACTTCGCTATCCTCAAAATTAAGGAGTAAAAATGTAAAATAAATATGTTCTAATGTTATATGTTATATCGTTATATGAAATAAAAATTATACGTCGCGCCCATCGGCTGTCACTCAATTCTCCTGGGAATTCGATAGCAAATCTACCTGTATTACTGTTTAATCTTTATCGAATATTTTACGTATTTTATTTAATCTTTCGTAGAAAATAGGTAACTGTTAGTATTTATATATTATACAAGTACATTTTAATAGCTACATCAAATGCGATAAGCCAATAACGACGATAAAACCATCGAGCATTTTAGTTTTAACAATCATTATAAACAACAAAAATAATTAGGTAGAACGTAGAAATCAACTTAAATTTAATGTAATACATGGGTTTTTTGGTAATATATTTTTTATTGTTAGTATAATAGTATAATATGTTGGGTATACCAACTCATTATCAAAAATTAACTTAATTTATGTTTTTGGTTTGATTCGGATGGGAGCACTATAAATATAGGGACCCCAAAATCGCGGGACCCGGGGCACGTGCCCCGCTCACCCCGACAATTCCTCCGGCACTGCATAGTGCATATATAGGTATTGTAGCTCTAATAGCTACTGCCTACTTGTATTGTTTTTATACTTCATATTATTATATTGTTGGGCCAAAGGGGCCGTAATCATAATATTATTATTGTTACCATTTATTTATATTGAGTTACCTGTCCCCTAGTTTTTAGTTTACACACATACTTATATACACACACATACACACACCACCCACACACTAGCACTCATAGGATTTGCTCGGCGAACCTGTCCACCTCCTGTTGAGTGCTATACACATATACACAAATTTACAAAGGTCGGTCGGTGTGTTAGTACAGTTAAGCGCGAAGTATTTTGGTAACCGGGCGCACGGCCTAATATTGTCCGTTCCCGGCCCGAACAAAGCAGTTGACAAAAATTCAAACACTAATCACAATGACTTATAAACATCAACTTGATGAAATAATTAGATATGTATTTAAATTTTGTTTAACTTTTAAGTTTTAACTGTCATATAAAAATCATGAAGTAAAAACTAAAAAGTGATAAATGCTATTCGTTATCAAGTTAACAACAAACAACCACGTGGTACCTATACAGATTTTCTGTGGGTACCTAGTCATTTATCACTATTATTATAGTGTGGTAGATAAGGCGTCGGGTGAACACGAATCGTACCAACACGAAAATAGAAAAAAAAGGACAAAGGTAGGTTTGTATAAATATGTCGCAAAAGACAAAATTTATTGTAAAAACATAAACGGCTGATAAAACAGATACAAAAATACAAATTTTATGTCGTGCACGAAAAAAGAGAGTGCGGTTGTCGACGGAGTCACGAGGTTTTGGTCGCGGCGCGAAAGTTTCGTACGGGAACGGTATGGAGGTAGCAAAAGACCAGGTTACAAAAGAAGGCGAGTGCGATCGGACGTAATAAAATCGAGAGTGACTCGTCGGTGCGTCGCGCGAGGCGTCGTTAACACCGTGGCGAGTCGTACATGATGGAAAAGGGGAGCGTGGTGACAAAATCGGGAACGCGATTGGCACGCGAGATTAGTCGCGACACAATGATTCGGCGAGCGTTACAATAGTTTATTTACAATTATTTTGGTACGCGGTACAATAATTCGGACGTACAATATTAACGTAGTAATGGTGATACTACGGTATCGCCACAATAGTATTGTTATAAGAATAAGGCTCTTGTCCCGCTAGGACAACGCGACGCGATGCGATTAAAAAAAAATAGTTGCCAAGTAAAATATCGTACGACCTGACGTCATGAGTTGTGCACACTACAGGCGATATTTCGGCAGTTGTTCAGTAGTCAGTAGCAATCATGTCGTCTTCTGAAGATGACGAGTTTTGTATTGTGTCATATTGGTATCGACAACGTAAAATTAAAAAGAAAAGGAAATATTGGATACATCCATACATACAAAATAATATTAATTGTCGAATATTTGTTGCCGCTAATGAACTAATGCAAGACGATGTAAAATTTCAATCTTTTTATCGCATGAAGAAAGAAAGTTTCAACTTACTTGTAGAAAAAGTGGGACCGGCTATTGAAAAACAAGACACACATTTCCGTCGTTATGTATGTGTGCGTGAAAGATTAATGATAACATTGAGGTAATGATTCTTTATTTACTTATTAACACTTTATTAACATACAAATTATAATAATGTAGAAATATAAATATAAAATAAAATTAAACACAATAAATAATTTTCATGAACCATGTACTTTGATGTAACAGGTAGTACTCGTAATAATCTCCTTTTAGCCCATGTTCAGCAAATCATCTATTAAATGTTCGTTTTGGTTGCATACTTGTGAGGTAACTTCTTCAGGAGAGTGGATAGGCGTGAAACTGTTGTGTGAGTTATTATATGTAATATGTATATAATGACGAACCGGAGTAATTAGAAAATACAGTCTGAGGACGAGACGTAATTGAAGTGTTTGAAGTCGGTGTTTGATTTTGAGGTGTCGGATTTTTATTTAAAATATCATCAATCACATCTGATACTTTTTTTTAAAATATTCTCATCTGTTTATCGGTCATGGCGTTAATATCAGGTAATAAACTAAGAAGGTACATTCTTCTAGGATCTTCTCCACACATTTTGGTTTTCTTCATTTTCACAAAATCAATAAAACTTTGGTCAGCTTGACTAAGTTCACTTTTTCGTTTCTTGGTACCTTTTGTTTTTTCTTCAGGACTACAAACGTCATGGTTTTTACTTGTGATTTTGTCACTAAAGTATTGTTCTTGTTGAACGAGATCTTCATCTTGGTCTTCAGTGTCGCTTTGTTCATTATTTTCTAATAAAATGTCGTGATCTGGGGTAGGAGAAGGAAGATTTCCTGAAGTAGTCAAATCAGTGCTAGGTTTTACATATGGTAAAAGGAATTGCAAATGTTCATTTAAATATTACGGTTTCTTTGATTTTCTAGCAGATCCACTAGGTGCTGATTTATTAGTTCTGACAAAGACAGTTCTCAGGTTTTTCCATTTTTCTTTACAAAATGTAACTAAAATATAAAATAATAAAACATCAATTATTTACTTTTATACTTAAAGAGGAAATTTATAAACTAAAAATCAATGAAAACTTTGTTTACATTAGGTACTTGGCAACAGGGTCTACTTATTCCAGCCTAGCATTTTATTTTGCTCGAGGTGCTAACACAATAAGTCAAATCATTTCGGAAACTACAAAAAAAATATGGGATTATTTAGTTAACGAATACATGCCAATACCAACTGAAGAAAAATGGATGAGTATAGCTAATCAGTATTACAGATTATGGAATTTACCAAATTGTGTAGGATCTATAGATGGAAAACACATAAGAATACAAAAAGTTCCAAATACAAGGTCGACTAATTTCAATTATAAGACATACCATTCAATTGTTTTAATGGCCTGCAGTGATGCTGATGGAAACTTCATCATGATAGAAACTGGTTTCGCAGGTAGAAATAGTGATGGTGGTATTTTTCGAGCATCAAGAATGGGTCGTTGGCTTGAAAGAGATGGTTTAAATTTGCCAAATCCAAGACCATTGCCTAATGACCCTAACGAAATTAATTTTCCATTTTATTTCGTAGCCGACGCAGCGTTCCCTTTGAAAAAAAATTTAATGAGACTAAACCCACGGAGAACATTAACAAATAAAAAACGAATATTTAACTACAGACTCAGTAGAGGAAGAAAAACTGTTGAGTGTTCGTTTGGCATGATGTCACAAAAATTTCAAGTATTGATGTCACCAATACGATGCACTAATGAAATTACCATAAACAATATAATACGATCAGTATGTATCCTCCACAATTTCATACGTAAAAGGGAAGGTCGGCAGTATATACCTTCCATTGATTTTTATGTAAATAATCCAGAAGACTTCCAAGTACCCAACGAGTTTATCAGGGACAACCAAGATCAAAATGAGTTGCCAAGGACACAAACAGCGAGTGATCTCAGAGAATATTTGTCTTCATATTTTGTTAAACCTTATGCATCACTGCCATGGCAGTGGAATAACTGTGTATAGTTTTTAACATAACTATATAAATAAATTGATAAAATGATAATATCTAATATTCATAAGCATAACCTAATGTTTAGAAATAATATTTAATAATAATTAAATAAAGTATATATAACAAGTATAAGTATTATTATATCTATATATAAGTAGTTATAATTATTTATAGATTTTTGTATTACAGTATTACACATGGATATTTTATTAATAGAATTTCAAACAGAAAATAAACAATAATACATACGGATTACCTAAATATTAATAAGTATACATTATTACCTATCTACGTTATATTATTATTTCGTTTGAAGTGAGTAAAGTGTGATTACTAAAATTGCTCATATCTATAATGATTTACTAATATAAACTTTTAAAATAATGTAATAAAATAAATAATATAATACAATTTATAATCTAATGTTATACTATATATCTTATATCTTATAATAAAAATAAAATACAAATATTACCTGTCTCTTTGACTTCTTCTGCTACCTTTAACCAGGCCTTTTCTGTAATGTCCCTTCTAGCGTATTCAGGTATTTTGAAGTTATATAAGCATGGAAATGCTCTACAGCTTCAACTAGTTTTATAGTTAAGTTTTCTTCTTTTGTTTTTGCCATATTGTCAGTGATATTTACCAAATAATAATATAATATAATTTAATTATGATATTACAAAAAGTCATGTGGTTGACTAGACAACTTTTATCAAGCGACTGACAGCACTAGTCGCGAGTGATTAGTTGCTTTCGTGTCACGTCGCAGTCACGTCGCATCGCGTCGGTGGGAGGTCTCCGATATATTAACCCGTGTTTTATTAAACAAACGATTATCGAACGATATTTATTTATAATCGCATCGCGTCGCGTTGCCCTAGTGGGACAAGAGCCTTTGAAACACAATATTCTGTGGTATAAGTCGGTAGGTACTATCACTATGGCAATATTAGGTACCTCTAAACAGGTTACACATATCATTAATTAAATAATTTGAAAGTACAAAACACTAATATCACAATCTTACATTCTTAGATTATACATATTATTATCTAAAATTTTAAACTCATCGATTCTCAGTAAAGAAATAGGCAATAGCTACCTACTATGAAAAGACCATCATAAATAAAAATAATATCAAGCGATAATACGGATATACTTTTTGCACATTATACTGACTACTGTTTACTGTAATAAATTGATAATTCTATACCAAGATTAGTAAAGACGTACAACGTAAGCACTTTTAGTATTATTTACAGTAGACATTTTATAAATTAACACAAATATTCAGATGTCGATAGCTCCTTTAAGTATTTACGCATTAATATAAGCGATGCGTCAAATTTCATTAAAAATTAAACTGTACACGAATAATATTACAAAAACATAGGTTCCTATTTGAATTTTAAAAGTTACCTCACGAACTTCCCTATCCTAGTTAATAAAAAAAATATTTAATATCATAATTACTTAGATTACGTGATTCAAAAAGGTTTTCATATAGGTCATTTTCTCCAAATTTAAATATATCATGCTGAAATCCGCTGTCACATGAAATTTGGAACACCTTGTAGAGACAATAGGCGCAACTAGAGGCCAAGCACTGGGGGTGCTAAAATTATGCAGAGGACACAGACCCGTAGGGGCATAGCCCCCACACCCAAAACACTTACTATATAACAATTTCATAATTATTATAATCATTCCAATCCACACTACAAAACCATAAGCACACTAATATTTAAGTATAAAAGCTATAATATACCTTATAAATACATTAGGTGTAGTATATAATTGTTCAAGTGATGATAATAATAATAATAAAGTTTAAACGGAATATATACATATTTATTATACATAACAATATTATTTTATACTAATAATAATTTTCTATTCTTAGTAGAATACTTTTCTAGTATTACTGAAGAATTAATTTTGTTTACAATGTCTCTTTCGATGTTTAAAATTGATAAATTTGTGAACCGCTGTTGTTCCATACTTGTTCTTAGCCAGTTTTTTAAACGGCGCATTGACGAGAAGCTTCTCTCACACGTAGCAGAACTCATCGGAATTGTAAGAACCACTAGTAACAATTTAAATACATTTGTAAATGTAGCCTTCTTACAAATATCCTTAATAGTATCTATATTATGATTATAACTAGAAGATAGGCAGTTCTTTAAAATAAGCATTTCCGCTTTTAACAACACTCAGAAAAAAACATTTCTTAAAATCTAAATTTTTATTACATTGATTTCTTAATATTCGAGTTTGCTTCAATTAATTATTTATTTCATTAAAATCATTAGTTTATAATCAATTACATAAGAATTATTTCAAATTAATGGAAAAAAAAAAAATTGAATTAATTGAATTGCATTAAATTGATAAATAAATATTATTTAAAGTAAGTAAACAAAAATACTTAGATTTACGATAAAATGTTTGTATATGAATTTAAATTTATATCTAACTTCGTTAATATAACGAAATAATTAATACTTTAAAATTATGAAATAATAGTTTCATTTTAATTTGTTGGGGTCATTAATACAACGGAAATCATAATAGATACAAATAGTTGGTTTATTTAATATTATCACAAACATACTTGAATTAAAGACAAAGGGACTGTTTAATTTATCAATTAAAACTATAATTATTTCAAGTAAAATATCCTTAATAACAATGATAATATAATAATTTTAATGGAATTTGTGTGCTATTAATAGTATTGGTTTTATCAACCGTCAGCGGCGCGACTGTTATCTTTGCAATTATATTACCGTCAACCGATCATTTTTCTCGCGACTTCGACGTTCGATGGTATTTTATGTATTGCCTGTTCCTCGTGTTAATATAAAGTATAAACTATAATAATTTATAAAAATATTATTTTTACAATTAAATCGTTACCTATACGTACAGTGTCATGGAAAATTTCACTAGTTTATTAAATAGTGCTGAATTTGAATTTGATGGAAATGCGCCGACGGATTCAGAAATTAACTCAGAAATGAACGATTTGTTATTGAATAACGATTTTATAAATGTATTAATTCAACTTAAAGGCGATTGTTTCTTTCAAGAATTTACAAGTAAGTTGAATATATTATACTATTAATTTTTAGGAAAATATAGATAAGTTATTTATCAGTACTTAATAATTTTTAAGATTTTGGCATGTCTGTCGAGAGCCTAAAATACACGAAGAGTAAACATTTGGATGAATTGTGTCCAAAAAGTAAATACGGGCAGAGAATAATTTTTGAAAAAAATTTAATAAATTGGCAGGCCAAGTATAATATTATTGTGAGTAATTAATTTACTTAGGTGGTACTTATGTAAAATATTCCAATTTTAAATTAACAATGAATTTACATACATATTATAACCACAGGAAAAAAATACATCTGTAACCTGCTCATCAGATTATAGCCTTACAAGTTCTGAGGAAGATTCTGAATCATTAACTAATTCCAATCATATAAATCTTCAGGATAATGATCATGTAATATCTATTGGCCATTGCCTATTTACATATTTTAGTTATTAATATAAACAGGACTTCTACACTTGATTGATAAAATACATGTTTGTCTGTCTATACTTTATAGTTTAATATTGAAGACATTTTAAAAAAATCAGGAAAAGGATTCATTATTTTAGAGTACTATAGGAAGAACAATAAGTTGTCCAGTGAATGTAGGAAAAGTATAGCAAATATTGTAACTGAATATTTAATTCAGTATAAACTTCATGCCTCACCAAAATGTATTGAACATATAGCAGAAAATATTGTTAATTTTTTTAAGAGTGAAGTAAAGGTGTGAAAACTTCTCTTAATACCCAATATATTATCATATTGATTATAAATACTGCCTAGTATTTATAATCGATGATATTATATCTATATGTATGATTATATGTATTATTATTACTTTTCGATGAGATAATATTTAAGAAAAAATATCTATATTTGCCAATGCACAAATTAACTAATTACTTATTGTATGATTTTTTATTTAGGAAACATATTTTATTAGTATTTCAAAACAAAAACCCAAAGGTATTTTATACCAAAAATACCACAATACCGTCTCCAAACTACGCAAACATAATCTTTGGGATCATTCTACTGCATCATCATCAAGTTTAACATCAACTGCACATAATGATAAAACTGCTCTATTGTCTGCACCACCAAAGGAAATTGGCAAGTATCTATATAAATAATTTATACAAATGGTTTTAGGTTGCTATGCAAATATCTCAATACTTCCAGTCATGTATAAAATAATAATAATAGGTAATATGATTCAAAACAAACCGGAATATTTGAAAATTCAATATTTAATACTGTTAATGCTTACCACGTTGTTGAGAATTATGCTGTCGATTTGATGCATGACATTTTTGAAGGCGTGGGAGTATATAATATGTGTCATATTATTTTAACTCTTTTAAAACAGAGTTATTTTGATTTATTAACTTTGAATAATCGCAAACAATGCTTCAACTATGGGGAAACTGAAATTGGTAATTTGTCTCCACCATTGAAACTAATAAATTTAAAAAATTTTAATATGAAAATGTCGGCGAGAGAAATGCAATGTTTTATTCATTTTTTCCCTTTACTTGTAGGTGATTTAGTTAATCAAAATGATCCAACTTGGATATTTTTATTACATTTTATAGAAATGATAGATCTTCTCTTATTGCCTAGTTATGATAGTGAAACTATTTTAAAACTAGAAAATGTTATTGTAAATCATAATAAAAAGTATGTAGAACTGTTCAATGACACACTTAAACCCAAACACCATTTTTTGACTCACTATTGTACAATAATTAAAAAATCAGGACCTTTAAAATATTTATGGACATACACTTTTGAATCTAAACATAGACAACTAAAATCTTATACTAAAAATATTAACTCAAGATTAAATGTTCCACTTTCTCTTGGCACAAAATTTTCCATTCAATTTTCTGAATTGATGTGTAATTTTGATATTAATTTTTATAATTCATATACTCCAATTAGTGAAGGAACTAAAGCTAATAAATGTACATATTTTGATATATTTAGTAAGTTATACTTAGGTGATGCGATTTTATTGCATAACTCTTTATGCTTTGATAAAATTGCATATTTTAATACTGTGTATAAGATTAATTTCATATTAACTAATAATGATTCAAGTGATGAACTGATTGTTTATATATTACGTAAAATTGTATGTTTAAATAAAAACACTGTATATTTTTTTTGTAATAAAATGAATGTTATCAGTTATGAAAATCATTTGGCAAGCTATAAAATAAGTAAAACTATGACTGATGATTATGTTTTCAAACCAATAAATTATTTTAATGATACCCCTATTCATTTGTATGAAATACCAATGTTCCCTAATGAGTTTATAATAAGATTAAAACCAAAAAAATAACATATTATTTAATTATTAAAATTGTAATGTTAAAAAAATGTATTGTAAGTATTATTAATTTTTTTTTTGTCTAAAATTTTGTTATTGTATTCGTTATTTTTACACTTTTATAATACTATATTTACTAAAATTTGTTTGAACTAAATGTTCTTTTAATTGTAATTCATTATTTTAAATGCTTGTAAATATTGATATTGTTTGATACTGTTTTGATAATGAATAAACTTAATTTTTTTCCGCAACAATTATGTGTTTATACATTTTTTATTTAAGTTTTATTTTTCCTCTATAATTCTTGTTACCTATTGTATATAATTTAAATAATGGAATAAAATGCAATAATTTCTTAAAATAATTCAATTACGGCAATGATAACAAAGAAAACAATTCCATTAAAATGATGCTAGTCCATCATAGGATTGAGTTTAATTTATAAGCTTAATTTTATTATTAATCATATGACACCATTAAATATAAGAAAAATATTCCATTAAATTGATACTATGTGTCATAGTATTAACTATATTGGTTAATTATTTTTAAGAGTTAATACAAATTTATACCTTATAATTAAGACTATAATATTATTGAGTTTAAGACGAATATAATAGATTATAGTACTTGTTTGTCATAATTTTAAGGAAGCCATATCATTGTATCAAAATAAAACATCATATAATTAACGTGTAGTTGATTTAATTAATTTAAAAGATTCTATATTCATAACTTAATGAATGAATTTCATAGGCTCCAAATCATACCCGTTTTCCATCAAATTTATAGTCGTTTTTCATTAATAATAAAACATTTTTTTCTGGGTGAAATCTAAGATAATACTCATAACATCCTTAAATAAAAATATAATAATATATCATTATAATTACATACATAAATCACTTGAATTGTGATATAATACACTTTATAACGATTTATGAAGTATTGACTCTTTTCATAATCCATTTTCACAAAATAATCAATTGAACTAGCCATTTCAAGACTTTCTTCGGAAAATTTGAACTTTAAGTTATTTATAATAGTGTCTATTATAGGAAAGTAAACTGTGCGTATCCAATACAATTCTACTGAATCTGAAGCACTTGATCATCTCGTTCAGCACCTATTGTTGTTTCCAAATGGAAGTCCATTGAATGAATCGGTTGAGTTCTTCTACGTTTTGATCCTTTATAACCATTAACAATAATTTAATATTTTCTCCATAAACAATTGTTTGTGAATAACTATGATTTTATATAAATTATATTATTTTAAACAAACCAATTTGAGGAACTTCTAATGATATATTATGTCTCTCAGCTAGCTCTACAACAGTTAAACATAATTTTGAAAACTCATCATCAGACCTTAAGCATATAAATGATTGGATGACCACATTGACAATATTTCTTGCTTTACCTAAAGTTGTTGTTTTAGATTGTAAAGAAGTATTTAAAATATTTATAATTCCTAAAACTTCTTTTAGTATAATAATAACAATAAGGAATTGACACTTTTGAATCCAATTTAGAATACCTATAACAAATAATAAAGTTATAATTTTCAATTTTTATAAATATTAAAATATCAATCAATTTGCATTACCTATAGGCTTTAACAACATCTTTATCTGCTTGAGTGTCCACTTCATTGATTAAAAAACTTAAAATTGCAAAATAATTTGTTAACATCGATTCACAATTCTTGTATCTATAAACCCAGCGTGTATCACACACTTTGAGAATGTTACCTTTTTTTAACCCTAATTGTAATTGTATTTTAACCAACTCGGTATTATTGGATTGACGAGAAAAGTGTACATATACAGACTCAAGTGTATTGAAAACACTTCGAGCAATCTATAAAAATATTTAAAAAGTAATTCTATAAATTTATATAAATAAGATTATGGATTGCAATATGGAGTACATACTTTGATTGCTTTACAAATGTCCACAATAACTAAATTCAATCGATGTGCCATACAGAGTGTATAAATTGCACAAGGGTAATATTCTTTGATTTTAGCTTGTATCCCTCCAAGACAACCTGACATAACGCTCGTTCCATCATATGACTGAGCAATATATTATAGTGTTCATATTAATGTTTGATTTTTCAAAGCATTTGAAAATGGCTGCAACAATATTGCTAGCGTCCTGTCCACTGGAGACATCCACAAACTCTAAGAATCTTTCTATAATATCAAAACCAACAACATACCTAATAAAGATTCACAACTGTTCTTGTATATAAGATCTATTCAAATGTTAATTTGATTTAAATATTTTATAAAAAAAAAACAGATTACAGGCAAATGTTAAAAATTATTTAATTTACCTAGCTTCATCAACCATAATAGCAAAAAAATCAGTATTTTTAATTGCATTAATTATTTTTTCCCTAGCATAATCAGCACTTATTTGTATTATTTCTTCTTGGACTTTCCAACTAGTGTGATTGATTTTTACATCATAATGACTTTTACAATTTGGAACGCATTTTGAAAAAATATAACTTAATTCTTTGAAATTACTTATAATTTATAATTTATTGCTTAATGAAATCAAGTTTTTATTATTTTTTATATTAATATTATATTACCTTGGTTTAAAGAATCACATTTCTCTATTTGAGCCATATAAGCTCTATTTTCTACAATTTGATTGTGATGAGCATCTGATAATTTGGCTATAATGGAACCTGATTGCTTACTTGTTTTATATGCAACCATCTTTGTTAAATTAGTTTTATGAACATCAGAGTTTTGATGTTTTCCAATTTTTACAATAAACTGAAAAAGACAATTAATTTAATTAGGTATTAACATTGATTAAATATACATAGATAGTCCAAGTCAATAGACAATATGGGAACACCAAGATTAGTAGCTTAAGAATGTAAATAGGTAGCGGGTACAGTAATAAATTGTCCAAATCATAATGATTTAATAATAATTACATAATATACGGGCGGTAAAGGTACGCTGTGTTACGCAAAAGACCTAACTGTTAAACTGCGATAAGAAGTACCTTGTACCTATTCCAAGAATAGAAATTAATATTAAATATTACTATTATTATTATTTACTGAATATGCTGTTAATTAATTCTTTATATTATTTAATATTCTGAGCAAAAACGTACCTTCAGCTTAGAATATCTTACGACATAGCAAATTCACGTTCAGCAGATTAGGTTTAGTTTTGTTAGTTTAAAAGTTAGAATGAATTTGTCTATTACCAAAATTTTAAGTGAGAACTTTATCTGTGTTCTCTAGTTAATTTTTTAAGATAGTTTAATTTTTAAGTGAGTTATGACTTATGGATATGAAAAGTATTAAATATTTGAAAATGCTCATAATTCACTTAAAAATTAAAATATCTTAAAAAAAATTAAATAGAGAACATAGATAATGTTCTTACTATCAAGTTTTATTATAGGTCAATTCACTTTAATTTTTAAATTAAAGAAGCTTTACCTAATCTGCTGAACGTAAATTTGCTATGTTACCTACGTACTTATAAGACAGAGACAACAAATGTCTGTGTAGCGTCTAAAATTCAAATAATTACGAAATATGTCAAAATCGCGAAAATTTGCAAGTAATTTTGTAGTTTAAAAACCATAAAAATGTTTGTGTTTATATCGAAGGTTAAAAAATTCTCTTTAACTCAATAGAAAAAACACAAAGTGTCATATTATAAAAAAAATTTTAAGTGCATTTGAATTTAAAATTTTTACCAAATTACGTAATAATAACGATTTTAAATAAAACTTGAAAATGTCATCAGTTATTTAGATTGGCATTTTCTTTACATAATTTAATCTTCAAAATATTACGCTTATATTAATGCTATTATTAGGCATTTGAAAAATTCGTTTTTGTTTATTTATTTATTTTTTTTATTGGATTCAAATTTAATACATCAATTAAAGTGTCATACTATACAGCAGAACGTATACGACTCACCAGATCACTTTTTTTTTTGTTCCACCTATTTCGAAGTGTTCGAAATTTTTTACTTTTTATTTCCCAAAGTACCAATTTAATCTACTTTTTATGCCTAGTTCATTTGTAGTGAAATAAAAATAAATAAACCTTTATTATTAAAACCGTGTATAATACAAACTGTTTAATAGTTGAAAAATAAAATAAGGAAACAATAAATAAAAATCAATTAATCATTATAATATATTTTTATTTTTATAAAATGCATACTAACAATACATTTTTTAGTTATTAGTTAAAATACTTAATTTATTTTTGTTTTTTTCAACTCTGGTGCTTTTAATATTTTTGGATTTCCAATTAAAATCCCTAAGTAGTTTACAATTAATAAAATTAATAATTATATAATTAAAATGGTCACTGCACGATTCATTAAATTTACATATATTAGACAAATGACTTTTTATTTTATCATAAAGAGATTGACGTATGCTTTTTTTGTGTGGCATTATTTCAACTGTTTTTTTAATAATTTGTTGTGCTAAAAAATAAATTGAGTAAAGCTATGTGTTGGTCTTTTTAAGAAAATATCAGTTGTCTTAGAGTCATAGTTTCTACAAAAAATAAGAAATTCTTGTTCATTTAATTGATTTTCTTCATCAGATTTTATCATGACATTTGAACAATTGTTACATTTAAATTTTTTAAAACTTTTGTTTCCCAAGTAACCAGCAAAATAAGTGTTTGAATAATTTTCAAGTGTTACTTTAGCTTCATACTCTTCCAGTGGCGTAACGATAGGGTGGCATGACGGGCAATGGGCCACGGGCCCACGACTCTAGAGGGCCCTTCAAGAAAAAAATAGTACATTCAAAAACAAATCACCATTAGTGAAATTTATACATATGATTCTATTTAAAAATATATGTATATTCTTGTAAAATAAAATAAATTTAATAGCTGATCACGATTATTTTTATAGATTATTTTATTTACCAGTCCGTCGACATGGTCGATATTAATATTATTATTATACATTTAATGATATTGTTATTTGTAGAATGGAAATAACAATGAAGCGGTATCGCAATCGCTTGTCTTTGAAACCGAACGTAACATTTATATTTTATATTTAGATACTATATTAGATTAGAACTATTCTAGGAAAAAGTGACCGTCGTTTAGTCGTTGTTACATTATGTTCTTTTAATTTATATTTAATTTTGTTATTAGTCAATGACGTGTCGTAGACCGATTTTGTTTTCGTCTTCTGCTGTGAATCAGTGATTCGTATTCGTATAGGTATTGTGATCAATCATGTCGAAAAAAATACCTAGTGGGTATGAAAAGCGTAAGAAAAAAACGGAAGAACAAGAAAAATGATTAAAATTGCCTAAAATTAGTAGTTTTTTTTTTAGTACCACTCCTCGTGAAAATAAAAGTGAAATAATAATTAAAAGAGTTAATACCGAGGTTAATAGTGAACAAAGTGTTGAACTTAGTTCTGTAGATAGTGAAAAAAGTGAAGTATCCACCCCAGAAATGTTGTCATGCTGTTCATATAAAGGTACGAATCAAAATGAATCTTTTGATATTGATTTTAAAAATATTATTGAAACTTCTTCTGATCCGACGGATATTGGACATTTTAAAGACATCGTTTTAGATTCTCAAACTAAACGGTTCATAATTGAAAATGGGCATAGTAGACCTAAAGCTAAAGGGCCTTTCGCTAAAAATTCAAACGGTAGATCTTTTTCTGAAAAGTATTATTTTACAGTATCCAAATCTGGTTTAAAAATCGAACGTTCGTGGCTATGTTATTCGACTATACTTCAAAAAGCGTATTGTAGGTCATGCTGGCTATTTGGAGATCGCACATCCACTGGCTTTCAAGAAATTTGGACTACAGGATATTGTGATTGGAAACACATAGTAGATGGCATTAAAAGACACGAGCAATCACATGTTCACTACATTTCCTGTTTAGTATATGAAAAATGGTTTTTAAATAAAACATTAAACGAAGAATTAGAACAAAGTATAAAAAAAGAAAAATTATTTTGGCGTCAGGTTTTAGAGAGAATTTTAAATATTACTCTTACATTAGCTATGCGAAGTTTACCTTTTCGCGGCCACAGAGAAAAGCTCGGTAGTGGAAAAGGAGAAAACGGCAATTTTATTTATTTTATTGAGTTACTTGCAAAATACGACCCAGTACTAGAAAAAGTTATTGATCAGGGTAATAATAAAGTAAACTACTGTAGCCCTAAAATTCAAAATGAACTAATACAGTTAATTTCAAATAAAGTCGAAGACGAGTTAATACTTAATATTAAAGAAGCTCCTTTTTTTTCCATTATAATTGATACAACGCAAGATATTTCAAAGGTTGATCAGTTAAGTGAAATTTATCGTTATTGTGTTATAGAAAAAGATGAATACGGAAACCCAAAAAATGTATGTGTTAAGGAAACTATTTTAGCATTTCATGAAGTTGTTGATCAATCTGCCTCTTCTCTTTCTGAACTAATATTACAGAATATTGAATAAAATGGATTGTCTATCGCCAAGTGTCGTGGTCAGGGCTATGACGGGGCTGCCAATATGAGTGGTATGTATAATGGCCTACAAAAAAGAATTAAAGACATTGAGCCAAGCGCAGCATATGTCCATTGCTCTGCTCATAATTTAAATTTAGTTGTCAATGATGCTGTGAAAGAAATAACAGAAATGGAAATCTTTTTTGATGTTGTTCAACGAGTTTTTGTTTTTTTTTGGACATAGTATAGTAAGATGGCGTATATTATCAGATTTAATTTAGGAATCGAACAGTCAAAATGGATTATTAATAAAAAAAACTTAATCCTACAAGATGGGCTGGTCGTTATGAAGCAGTTTTTGCGCTTAAAATTAGATTTGTTGAAATTCAAAAAGCTTTAACATTTAACAAAAGTTATACTTTGCAGCTCTAAGTTAGATGAGCGAAATGAAACTGAAGGGATTAAAAAACAAATTGAAAATTATAATTTTATTTGCACTTTAGTTTTTCAATGTAAAATTTTACAAATTATAAACCTGACTTCTAAAATTCTCCAGTCAAAGTCAGTTGATTTAGATAATGCATCCAATTTATTAAAAAACTGTTATGAACAATTAAAAGAATATAGATGTAATTTTAATGATCTCTTGGAAGATGCAAATATAGTTGCTAAAAGTTGGTCTATCTCTACAGAGTTTCAAAACAAACGTCGTAAAGTTGTAAAAAGATATTTCGATGAACTATGTACTGATATGCGTTTAACTTGTCCAGAAAGCTTATTTCGTGTAACTATTTTTAATAGAACGTTGGATATATTAATAAATCAAATAAGTAAACGTTTTTCAAGTTTTCATGAATTAATGCTAAATTTCACATGTTTACAACCATCTTTTCTTACATCAGCAACAGATTTAGAGCTTTTAAATGAAGCTACGAAGTTGGTAAACAAATATGATAAAGACATATCAAAAACATTTACAAGTGAAATTTTAGCTGTAAGATCAACTCTTAAAAATCAAATAAGTCAACTTAATTCAACTAGAGATCTTGCTCAACTTTTAATGGTGAAAAATCATTCTTTAACAGCCAGTTTTTCAGAAGTATGTACTGCTCTTTTATTATTTTTGACAATTCCTGTTACATCTGCAAGCGCGGAACGGTCATTTTCGAAACTAAAAATTATTAAAGGATATTTAAGGAGTACAATGATGCAAGATCGTTTAAGTGGCCAGGCATTAATTTCAATCGAACAAGAAACAGCCCGACAAGTTGACATTGAAAATTTAATCGATATGTTTGCCGAAGCAAAAGCAAGAAAGAAGAAATTTTGAATATTTAAATTTTGTATTGCTTTGTATATATTTTTTAAACCAAAAAATGTTTAATAAAATTTTACTAAAAAATAATATTACACTAAACATGCTTTTTATTTTTTGTAACCTTAAATGGTAGAATTTTATAGGTGGTTGGTTTTTGTAGGCTATTCCTCATATCTTTTTTCCAAATTTATAAAACCAAGGGCCCAATTAGATTATTTTGCCACGGGCATTAAAAGTTCTGGTTACGCCACTGTACTCTTCTAATGTTGAAACATCAATTGTAGACATAGTTGATATAGATGATAGGGCTTGAATTGTGGAACTGGAACTATCAGATTCTTCACCTGAACAATTTTCAGTTGACATATTGTCATCGTTGCTAAGCAAATTTATATCATCATCCGGTTCACAGTTTGACAGAATAGTTGGCTGCATCAAGTTAGACTTAACATGCATACGGAAAGTTGTTCTAAACGTTCTTGCAGTAGGATTACTATAACAAAATAAAAACAAATAATATACCATTTATTTACTAACATATTTAACATTGAAATATTAAATAAATAGTTACCGATTGTATCCTCCTCTTTGACGAAAAACTACAAACATATTTTCAATAACATCAGAGTTAAGTCTTCGTGTAAGTAAATAGTTAAAGCCAATATCATCTTGTTCTTTATATAACATTAAAATCGAATTAAGTGTCCACACCATCCCATCAAAACAAACTGGTCTGGTATCTCTAAGTGGTTTTTTTGGATCTGTAGATATTTTTTCTAGTGATTCAAACCAAACCTTAGTTTCATATAACAATTCAAGTTGTTGTGGATTTTTATCGGACAAAGCACATTTAAAAGGATTTGAATTATAAAGTGAATTACTATTCAGACAATCCAGCTAATTATTAAACTTTTTAATCATTTCTACAGTTTGAGAAGCTGTTCTAGATTGTAATTGTTGAGTCATAATGCAAGTCTTTATAGCAGCGGCTACTCTATGACTAAATAATTGCATTGCAAGTTTACATGACATCTTTTGAAATGGTCCTGGATGTATATGTGCATCAGTTATATGCAGTAAAGAACGACTAGTAGAGCTTTTTTAGTCTATATCATAAGTATCCTTCAGATCTTTGAATGATACTTCTTTTCCATTAAATAAAAAGTTGTTTCTTATAAAATGATTTCTGAGATTCTTAAATATATGTGGTACATCAAATATGGAATAAACTTTATTATCACCAATAAAAAAATATGGTTTATCCTTTGTCATCTTTAAATCCTTAAATGCAGCAACATTACTAACACCTTGGTCACATACAATAGCTTTGACTACAAGACCACATTGAAACAAACTTTCTAGTACTTCTGTTATTAAAACAGCCAACATGATGTGCTTTACTGATGTAAAAGGTAGAAAATATGCGATAGGCAACTTCCATGATGAATATAGTCCTCTAATCATGAACACCATAGCCTGCCTAGCAAGTTGATTAGTTCTGCCTTTGGAGCCTAAGTCTTCATACCCTTCAACTAGATCTAAATATTTATTGTATTCAAGAAAATTCTTTATTTTCATCTCATCGAAGACTAATGTGCAATATTTTTCCTGATTACTCATAGCATCAACTTTAGTTTTCAAATGCTTAAACAAAGCAGTGTTAAGGCCAGGTAGACATTTCAAATTTCCAATCCAACGCTTAATAGAAGTGAGTCCAGGTAACTTAATTTGTTTTGAAAAATATATAAACTTATATGCTGAAGGAGATTTATAAAAAATACTCAGAGCCAATTGCTATTCTTTCTGAGACCATGACATTGTACTTGACTTTTTACGTGATAGTTGCATTTTAACCAAAGTTTTTGCATTTTCTGATGGAAATTTCAATAAATTAATAAAGTCAACAGACTTATTATGTTGACTACTATTATATATTATGTTTATTTTGCAATTTTAAAGAAATCAGATTTTTTTTTAATTTGAATATTATGACTCTTTTTGACATTAAAAGTTTCTTTTGATGAGCAATAACTTTTTTAAGTCTTTTTATAATACTTGTATTACTAGTTGTCACAAATAATTTTTTTGGTTTTATGGAAGATGGAAAATCAATCATTTTGTGCATTAGAGTTATAGTTATAGGTGTCATATCCGGAGTACTGGCAATTGAAGATGATGATGGTAATGTATGAGAAGTAGTAGGTGTTACAACATGGATAGTTTCTTTTGGGCTGGATGTCATTTTAGATGGTGAACAATTTGTTGATGATGACAGTTTTCTTTTTGTGACAACAACACATGGACTTGATAAAGAATAATTTGGTTTTTTTTTGTAAGTTGTTGTTGATAAAGTAACATGTAAATTGTCATCTTCTATTGCAGTGAACATTTGTGGTATTGAATATCTTTTTAAATTTTGTTTATTAGAACTTGTAAAATCGTTTTCTACAAAATGATGCTCAAAAATTCGCTTTTTGTATAAATCAGTTTCATCAAGGTGTAATAAATCAGTGTTCCCTAAAAAATTAAATACATATTTTTAACTTACAACTAGATATGTAAAAAACAATATTTTATTTTTCATTCGTACAATAAATAATATTATACTTGTATTTTGTATTAAAAGAATAGTTAAGTTAAATACTAAAAACTTCTATAGGTAAGTCAGTAGGTACTCATAAAATTACAAAACAAAATTAATACATGTAGGTATTTGTATGTAATGCAATTTAATTAAAAACTACTTAATACCTATTATTTTAGCAAATTAAATAATATATAATATAAAATATAAATATATTATAAATTATATAAATATTATATTTATTAATTTTTTAGTATTCTTATTTCTTACCACAGTTTAATATCCACTGTCTTGACAAACTTACATCTTTTGGAAAACGGTAGAGTTTAAGACCCAAGTCAGAACGAGCACTTTTACCACAGTTTACATACGAACACTTAGTACCACAAGCACGGGACATTTTAAAAATTTAATATTAATATAATATTAAACACAAACAAAAAACAAAATATAATAACGTTGAAACGTTGTAGGTATTATTGATGTTGACCGTTGCAAATTTAAAGTATAGTTAACATATAAATGTTATGCATATATCAATATTATAATAGAGAGGGGGGAGGCGTGAACATATAAAATAGTTTGAAAGGGGGCGTGGACCTCAAAAGGTAGAGAACCCATGTTTTAAATGATAGTGATAACATTAATAACAGATAGGTGATAACTATTTGTTCTTGGGAAGACAAAACATTTTCATGGCAGATCAAATTACTAACAGCGCAACCTATTGGCATGGCTCCCACACTACTACAATTCTGGCTCCCATTTTACTTTATAAAGCGTTAACCATTTTTCCTATCACTTAGATTATCTATGTATATTTAATCAATGCTAATAGTCATCAACCGTGTGAGATACAATTATTCAAAGGAGCAGATACAATACCGAATAAATGCGTACTTAAAAAATTTACACTGAGTGAGAATATATATCATAGGCTTAACAAGAAAAATACATGGATTCATGTAGGACACGATGTTTTAACAGTAGGATGTGATGATTTAATAGAACAATTTATTCAAGAAATAAGAAACTCAGGAGAAATATCTATAATATATAGAAAATGTCGAATATTTACAAGAGATGTAGTATTAAATGCAATAGAAGAAGATGTAAGTAGAAAATACAAGGATTTTGTACCTGTAACTAAAATGAAAAACTTATTAGACAAAATACCTGAGCACATACATAACTATACAATAAATGAGAAATGGGATAACGAAACAGATATACAAATAACAGATTTACATGGTGTATCTAAATCACTCAATGAGGTACAACAAATGATCGATAATGAAATAATAAGAGAACAAGCTCAAAAACATCAATTTATTCGTTCAAATTTATTATATGCTACAGTAGGTTTAGCTATATTATGTATGATATTAATATTAGCTATGTATATACTAATAAAATGTAGGTATGTTAGCAATCATCATATCATAGAGCCTAGAAAAATAGTTAGATATAGAAAACCAACGAGGAAAGGAAATTATAGTACGGAAATTTTCGAAGATATACCATTTGCTGCTCCACCATCACCACGATAAAACAAAATATAACAATAATTAATAATAATATAATAATTAATAAAGGTGACAGATATTTTAAATTTTGAGGAAAATAATATTTTATAATATATTAATTGTTAATGAAAGATATTGAGGAAATAATAATTAATAATAATATAAATAAGAAGTAAGAGCAGTGGCGCTACTAGCGGGGGTGTTGGGTGGTACTTACACTGGGGCACCAGAGTACAATGCCATTTTGGGGGGCATCATCTGATGCTTTTGCTTTTTCAATATATTATTATATATAAAACCAATATAAAAATAATATATAATATCATATTATTAATATGACGCATATTATGTATAATGTATATTAGAATAACATGACATATCAATATTTTAATGAACATTAAAATGTGGTATTACCATAGGGCATAGAGGCATAATAGAACATTATGTTCAATGTTATATTTAATAATAAAGATTCTAAAAATAGTACAAAAATAGAAATATCTGTAATATTATTGGTGATAATTTATTACTTGTTTACGTATATAGCCCAATTTATAATGTTTATTAAATTTAATTTTAGCTATTAAATACAAATCGTTCCAATTGGGAAAAAAATTTAACTATCGACAAAAATGTAGAACATCAATATACTATTGAAATAAACTACTGGCGGAATGTATTAAAGAGGATTATAAAGATTATTTTATCATTGACTGCTGGAAATACAGCGTTAAGAGGCCGTCATAGTAAAATTAAAACGTATACAACGCTCCAGAGATGGCGTTGCGCGCGGAATCGCCGCCGTCGCGACAAGCTATAACCACGCCCATTATCTCGGTGACGGGCTCCGCGCGTCGTGTTCATGAGACAAGCCACAGGCACATTATTATTCTAAAGACAGTCGTGTTGATAGTAGCGTACCTATTTTAATGTACTATTACAATACAATATGCGTTATACGTGGAGCGCTCGCAATTTATTTATTACCAAACACTCTTCTTTTTAAAATTTTTACTTCATTTTGGTTATAATGACAATCAGTTGTGATGACCAATATTTTATTATATAGCATCAATGTATAATATAGTATACTATAATAATTAATATTAAACACTTCCGCATGATACAATATATTGGTTATTATCGTGTATTAAAATCTAATATATATCATAATATTAACTCCTATATAGAAATATATTTATATTAATATAAAATAATATTATATTAATGCAAGGTACCTATCTATAATAAGTAATAACCCTAATAACACAATAAAAAAGTTTTAACTGAACAGTCAGAACTTAAAAATTATAACGATATTGATAATTAATTAATTAAAACACTACCAAATTTAATACTAAAAAGACACTTGGGTATTTTAAAACTAAAACATTTTTAATATAGTTCGGGTTATGTACGACGTTGTTTTATATTTTTAACATTAGACAATTTTTTGTTTTGTGCTTTTATAATAAAATCCGGTTCAATTATATCACTTTTTGACATTCTTTTTCCATATTGCGGGTCTATGATTTCTGGCAAAATACATTCGCAGTAAAATCTAAAATATAAAATTTAATTATTTTGTTATTAAACAAAGAATTAATGTTAATTAAAAATATAAATTATGAATTATTATTTAAATAATTTATGTATAATATCTTTACTTTTTTAATTTTTGTTCCATATTTGCATGCCAAAAGTTAAGATCATATTTTATTTTCTCAATATGTATCCATTGTTTTGTAAATACTACAAAATAACAATAATGTTTTTTTGTTACATACAACTGACCGATAATTTGATAAAAATAGTTGTGGTCTTTTTTTAATAATATTTGCCCATTTTCATTTTGAGTTAAATATGTTATCTATAAAATAATTTAATAATATAGTTGCTTATAGATATTATTATGATACAGTATAAATTTACAAAATTAAATAGGTATAATTTTTATACCTTTCCAGTGTGAATAGCCTCTTGTAAACTGGTACAATCTTTAGCAGAATAAGGTGATTTAATTTCTAAAATTGTGTTATCATCTATAATTCCATCTGAAATAAATTACATTTTTTAAATTAAATATAAATTAAATTAAATTTATCTACCTGGCGATGCTCCTAGATATGGCAATATATTGTCTATAAACAACCCGCAATGGTTTACTTTTAAATTTGTTACTTCTTCAAATTTTTCAATAGCCAACTTTTCCATACTTTTTCCATACCTGCATTGTACTGGCTCTTTGCTATTAAAAGTAGATGAATTATATAGTAATTCATAAACTATGTTCCTACACGATGTTGTGGGTCTCATTTTAATAATTTTTCCGAAATTGGACGCTGTTAATCGATTTCGCCTTTCAGAATACCATTTTTGATTACAACTTTGGTCTCGTGTCTCTAGCTCTAATACTTCACTTTCTTTTTGTGTCAACGTTAAATTTTTAATAAATTGTTGTTTTTTTTCTATCATGAGCTGTGTGGTCATCCTTTCTTCTGCTGCTAAAGGTTCTGCAAGGCCATAAAATTCATCAGGACCGGTACATTTGGTTTTTTTCACACGGCGCGTTGGAAATTGAAGTTTTCTTTTGATACAGTACACATTTTTTTTATTTTTCATTGCTAAAAATTTTTTTCCTACCACGCCTATAATCAAAAATGATGTAATATATAAATAATAATTTTAAACACAATGAAACATATAATAATAAAACATAATGAAAAACACATGACTATTTGTTTTATGAATTTGTCATTTGGAAAAAACACGAAACAATTTTAATTCATTACCTGGACTTTTTTTCATAATATTTTTGTGAATCGCTCTTAAAAAATAACCTCCTGAGTTAAATGAAATGATTGCAGCTCTTATTCTCGTACTGTACGACTGTTTTAATGAAAAATTTATTCTCTTTCCACCAATATATTTATTTACCACACTATTAAATTGCTCGCACACATTATTGGTAACATCAAGGATAAGACTGCTTGCATGGTCAACTACTCGTTTTATTATTATCGATATTTCACTCATTAGGCCGCACTTTTCTGCTTCTGGGACACGATTTTCTTCAGTATTATTTTTTTTACAAAAATAAGCTGCACATTTTTCATGCTGTCCCAAAATGTGGTAAGGACTATTCAGTATGTCTTCTTTAAATTCTTTTTTTTATTAAAGTAAAAAAAATTGTTAATTTATATTCTAAAATTTATATAAAAAAAAAAAGTGGTATACCTTTTATCTTTTGTGATTCTGTTTCTAATAACTCTTTGCGATATTTTATTGCCATCCTAATTGCCATACTGAATTTTGTTATATTTGAACTTAAAAATTTTCTCAATAGTACAGGATATTTACAATTTTTGGTGATTTGCATTATTTTAGTGCTGTAGTTTCTTAACAAGTGATTTCGGCATTCAATTTTTTTTACAAGCTTGTGAGGTCCATATGGAACTATTTCATTCAGGCGTTTGATTACACTGCTATCACCATCTCCTATAATTTTAAGTATTGTTTATGCCTTATGATATTGACTATTTAAATTTAAGGAAAAATAATAATACCAATTAATCTACTATATTTTAACCCATGCATTTCTACACTTTTGGCAAATCCTTCTGCTATACCGTCTGCTTCCATTCCTGTTGCACTTTTACGCCAGTTTAAAAAACAATTATGTTCGTTAGCCTTTAATTTTAATGTACTTGATCTCTCACATATACAGCAGTAACGGTTTCTTATCCCAACAAATAAAATTTTGTTTGAACGAAACCCTATAATCGTAGCCTTTAAAAACAAATATTTTGTGTTAGAATATGAAGTTAAAAATATAATTTTATTAAAAAAGTATAAATCTAATTGGATGATTAATTAATAAATTAATTAGTTATTTTAGCTTACTGCTCCCGATAACGCATCGTATTTCGTTTTATAACTGCGTTTTCCCCATTGACCATCGGCAACTACTGGACACATAGGAATTCCATCCGAATCAATATCTCCAGCTTCTAATGCCAATCGCTTTTCCTCAATACCAGCAAGTTGCATTTGTTCCCAAGCAGATTCTTCAATGACTTTACTGATTTTAGAAAAATGCGACTCATAAGTATTACTACAAAATGCTGGTATATCCAAAATAGCAGAAAATTCTTTTAACTGTGAATAGCCAATTCCAATTCCAATGCTTGCATTAGTAGCTGCTTGGTTTATTGGTATGTAGTCGCAATTTTTTTCCGAATTTATTATAATTTTAATGGAGCACATTTTACACTTAAAAATCCACGTTGAAGCGTACCCAGAACGAATTTCTTTTAAATATTCGCAATCAATAAAAGTACAACCTAAACCTCCACCGTGGTCACTGCTTCTAATTTGATCAAATATATACATAATATCTGCAATTCTTCGACCTCCAATACTATATAAAAGTATAAAATCAGTAATAGTTAAATATTACTTTTAATAAAAGGTATAATAACCTCTAATAATAAAATAAAAATATTCGTAAATAAAACGTACTTATTATTTTCAACTAAATGGTTAGTCTGTTTATTAGATCCACTTATGCTATCCTCTTTATTTTCGTATGTGACTATCAAATTTGTTAAAATTGGTGAAACAATATCAGTAGTGCTATAGCAATTATTATAATTCAATTTATATCAAGGGTAGTGAAGTTGTTTGATCGAAAAACACATTCAATTTATTGCATTCAAAAAATTTAAATAAACAATTAATTTTTTACTTGCTTATAGAAAAACTAGTAGGTACATTGGAGAACAATATTATAGTGAGTTTTTAACGTGTCAGAGTAAAGAAACAAGCTCACGTAATGAAAAAATAAACATAACTTCACTGCCCTATAGTAATATTAGATTAAACTATTGAAATAAAATTAAAATATAAATGATTCATTATTAAAAATCATTATTCATAATAACCTTGTTGACGTAGAACATTCTAATGAACTCGAATTTGTAATCGACTCACATAAACTATTATCTGCAATACCAGAGTCGTCTAAGATATCATCTAATGGTACATTGTTTTCAATCGGCTGATCAGTTGAATCACTATTATATAAAAGAAATATTGTGATTGATAATTTTTGTTTTTTTTTTAATTATGATAAGTAGAACTTATAAGATACCTTATTTTAAATTTTTTTGAAGACCTTTTTTGGCAGAAAAAATTTTTTTATCGACACTTCAAAAAAAATTCTCATAACAATCGAAAATTTCTATAGTCTATAAATAGGTAACTTAAAAAAAGTCAGAATATTTTAAAAAATTGACTGACTGTTTATAGATTTCAAGTATTTACAGTGGTTTTTGAATTATTACCATATAAAAAGTGGGCAAGTGAGTACCGCTCTGCTGTACATTAGGTGCCGTATGGATCATTATTATATATTATAGGAGTGTTAAATTTAAATCCAATGATAGTTATCATTGTATACGAAAAACGATTCTGAACGAAGATGATTTGTCAGCCTAGGATATGAACTAAAAACGCTTATAAAAAAAAATTGTGACTAACGATTTTTAATTTTTTTTTAGCTACATTAAAAACAACTCATAAGGAACCTTGTATTAAATTTTCAAAACTTTTTGGTCATCCAAAAATTTTTTATCGACACTTTAAAAAAAATTTCTCAAAATAATCGAAAATTTCAGTGGTCTATAAATAACTCAAAAAAAGTCAAAATTTTTTGAAAATTTAACTATATACGGATACCACTGACATTAACATTTGGTGAAAATTTCAAGTATTTTCAGTGTTTTTGAATTACAACCATAAAAAAAAATCGATTTGGTCGAAAACTGGTTTTGCGTAAAAATTGCCGTTTTTCCGTCATTTTTTTTTGTTTTTCTCGATTTTTTTGAAAACTGTTGGAAAATGTTAACTTTTTACCTCTATAATGCACCAAGGATATTCACTTTTGCATCGGAAACCACCCCCATTGTTTGAAATTGGAGCATTTTTTCGACTAGTTATGCTGTACACAGACACAAAAACAAAAAAAAAAAAAACAAAAAAAAAACACACATTATTGTAAAATCAATACATTTATCAATGTATCAATTTTTTTTAGCTTTTTATCAAGTATATTTTTTAATGTTTATAATTCACTAGTTTTGAAAATAATAGCATTGATGATTAAAATAAATTGACCTTACCCAAAAACAACAATATTAGTTTGATTTTGTAATATTTCACTAGACGATGTCTATATTAAGCATATTAAAATAAAAAATTCATAAGTACCTACCGTATTTATGTGAGTTCATATAAATTTAAAAATATTGTATGTATTGTTACTTACTTTAAATTTGTACCACGTTTTTTTAATCTAAGATTCTTCATTCGGAGTGCCATAGTTTTTTTTTTGTACTCTTGTTTTTGAGCACGATTTTTTTTTGGTACCATGTTTTAATTTTTAAAAAATAATAATAATTATTTGCAAAATGCAAATTAAATTGTATCACTGCACCAAAAAAAATAGCTGATTACTAATGTAACTAGTAAGTATAAAGTTAACTACCGCTTTGCCACTAGACTCGAGTATAATAGCGCTAGACAGTAGACTAATAACTAAGGTCTAAGAAGTATAATATTTTATATTTTTGTATTTTCTGTACACTATTTAAAGTACCCATGTCAAAAGATTTTTATTTTTGGACTTCATATTATAATATATATAGACTAACAGTATATTGTATAGTAAATGTACATTATTGGGTACATTCAATAATGTAGTTATTTATTAATTATTAGAAAAAGTTGTTTATATATATATTTATATGGAATGCATATAATTTCAACAATAAAATTAAATTATGCCGCCGTATTCTTGGAAAACTAGAATGAAATAGTCATTAGCATTTAGCAGCCCGCAGATAGCACGCTGCTTACCACCGTACAAGTATGAAGTAGATATCATGAATGATGATTTTATCCACTGCACGGTTGTGGCAGCACATGCTACGTCAAAATTCATATACCCACTATAATTTTGTTCATTAAACTTGTTTTGCGGGAATAAGAACCCTGAACCCTATAGTAATGTTAAGAACACCAAATTTCAACACAATATAAAGGACAAAATTACCTGTGTTCTCTCAGAGAGTTTTTTTAAATATCTTACTTTGACGATTTTATATAATTTTTTGAAAATGTACAAAAATGTCCAATATTTATAAGCTTATAACTTACTCATTTTTTACGTAATTAAAAAAAACTCTCTGAGAGAACACAGATAATATTATTTTTTAAGTTGTGTAAAATTTTTGTTTTCCTAAAGTTAATGTACCTTGAGTGGTTCTAATTCTTGCAAAGGCTTTTTCGACGCTCGAAATACGGGTGTGAGACGTCCTCTTAAGAGGCCATGAACATAAAGATAACCAAGGGAAATTATCAAGTCCTAGTAAGTTTTTATTTATACTTTATTTTATTTTAAATAATGAGAAAAAAATAAAAACTTCAGTGAAATTAATCTTTGATACAAATTTAAAATTATTTATGTGTATTATATGGATATATTATAATAACTTTGTATCATTTAGGAAACTTTCTACAAATGGTTTATCTTTTGGCTGAATTTGATCCGATTATAAGTGAACTTTTAAATGATGAGAAAAAGAAAAATAAATACCTTAGTTGGAAAATACAAAACGAACTAATTGATATACTGGCTTCAAGTACTAGAAATTTACTATGTGAAGATATTAAAAGATCTCAATGGTTTTCAATTATTATGGATTCTACCTTGGATATCACCAAAACTGACCAAGTTAGTATAGTGATTCGGTATGTGATACTTGATTATGAAACTAGGAACTTAACTATTGAAGAATCATTTTTGGGTTTTTTTTGTATCCAAGAACATGGAGCCAATAATTATGAACAATTAATTACAAATGTAATATTAGATTTAGGGTTAGATATCAATATGTGTAGAGGACAGGGTTACGATGGAGCAGCTGTAATGAAAGGATTATACTCTGGCTTACAAAAACGAATTAAAGATAAAGTTCCAACTGCATCTTATATACACTGTTGTGCACACAATCTTAACTTGGTAATATCAGATGCTGTTAAGAGCAACCAAAAAGTACAGTTTTTTTTTTGATACTGTTCAAGCTGTCTTCAATTTCTTCAGTTCAAGTGCACCAAGATGGGCAACTTTAGCTTTTGGTGAAGACAAAGCAAGTAAAATTAAACAAATAGTCCTAAAAAAAGTTTGCTCCACCCGTTGGGAATCACGCCACGTGTCTGTATATGCCTTAAAAGTAAGATTTATTGATGTTTTAAAATCTTTAAGCAATATTTCTTTAACAAGTTTAAAAAGAGAAGAAAGAAATATTGCAAATACTCTAAAAAAAAAATTAGAAAATATTGAATTTATTTTGTTGTTATGCTTATGGGAAAATATTTTAAGGCCATTATATGGAGTTTCACAGTCTCTTCAACGTAAAAATACAAATTTACACAATGCTTGTCAAAATTTATATGAGGCTAATTGTATTATTCAAAATTTAAGAAATGAGTATGATGATTTAATACTAACAAGTCATAATATGTGTGATAAGTGGAGAATTTCAAAAGATTACCATGAAGTTCGTTCTAAATTTGCCATTCGACATTTTGATGAAGTTGACGGTGATCGAAGATTAAATGTACAACAGATTCGAGTTTTTTTACCAGTAATTGATACTGTGATTTTTCAACTTTCTAATAGATTTAATGTATTGAAAGAAATAACTGAAAACTTTGATTTTTTAAAACCAATTACATTAGTTAATTTATCTGAAGATGACTTAATAAAAGCGTCATATGATTTTGTTCAATTATATAAAAATGATATAACTTCAGATTTAACTCGACAATTGCTCTCAATGAGAGAATTAATTAATATTTCTGAAGTGAAAAATATTGAACAATTAACATTATACATTTTAAAACATGATTATAGTACATCATATTGTGATATTTTAAGCGCAACTTTTATTTACCTCACATTACCTGTAACAGTTGCATCAGCGGAAAGGTCGTTCTCTAAACTGAAGCTTATAAAAAACTACTTAAAAAATTCAATGAATCCAGACCGATTGTCAAACATTACAATTTTAAATATTGAAAAAAATAAAACTCAAAACTTAGATATAAATAAATTAATAGATAACTTTGCCAACATAAAAGTTAGAAAAGTCAAGTTTAGTTGATTTTTTTTTTTTTTGAAATATAATTATAATGTTTTTGGTGTTATTATTTATAAGCTATTTAAATAATGTCTTTTTGTGAAATAATTTGTTAATAATTTTAATTAACAGGAATTTTAAATGCTTCTTAAATTTTTCTCCTAAACATATTAAATTATTACAGTACTTCCAGAGCATTGATTTTAATTTTATCAAAAGATTTGTATTTATTTAATTGTTTACTAAGTTATGTAAGGAATATCATTTATGTTTAATATACTAATATATATATTATATACTGAGATTTGTTGAATTAAAAAGGTAAAAATATTTTTCTTTCATAACATAGAAAATATGTATATAAATTCATATATACAGTCAAAACAGTTATCGAATATTTTCTATAAGTCTATTGAAAATAAAATTTAATCAAAATTTTGATAAAAACTTTAAATAAAAAGACTGTGATATTAATATCACTGATAGGGCACTATCCAATTTTTTACACTAGGGCACCAAAAATTGTAGTTGCGCCACTGAGTAAGAGTGATATTTTTTTTTTCTTGAGGAATAATTAATAATATGCGTATATATGTAAATATGAAATTAAAAAAAAAATATATATAAATATAATTTGAGAGTTATTAAATGGAAATTAGGATATAATATGCAGTTATTATTTAGGAAAATACAAAAATATTAAATGTAACATACATGTGTAATAACATTAATTGTTCACAGACTTATATATGTAATAATTATTAAGGTGAAGGATTTTTATTTTTTTATAAGGAATATAACTAACAAATTTTATTACATAATTGATTGATTTAAATTTTATGTTACTAACATATTTTTTATTAAATAATTGATGTAAATGAAGTGTAACTGCATACATATAAATTGTAAAGATTTCTGTCTTGCATACATAAACCTTTTTTTTTTGTGGGGAGGTGTTATGGGCTACGAGATATACTAATAATATAAATATATCATAATATAATGTTTATGAGCTACGAGATATGCTAATATATAATACAATGTGTAATATTGCTATAGGTGTTAGCAATAGTAATATCATTATATATGTGATCTAATAATTATAATGTATACGAAATATTAGATTCATATTTTGTAAAAACATCATAATAAATCAAAATAGTAGTTGTTAGGCGAGGTCGTTTTGCCAGTAAGGACGATAACATCCTGGAGATTGTTGTTTCAAATGTGAAAACAATTCCAAGAACTAATCTAAATTGGAAGGTTGACGATTACAACAACAAGAGATTTTCTTGTATATAAGGGAGTTCGAAGACCAACAGGGGCAGATGTACCAGAGCTACGAAGACCTGAGCAACTTCACGACACTCAGCCACTTTTTGTAACAGTTACATGTATTTCATTTATACAGAATAAAACATTATTGTATTTAAGAGTTGTAAATTTCATTTTAATAACACCCTGGATCTGGATCTGATATTGGCACGCAACAATACATACCTGGAATTGCTACTACAATATTTGAATTCAATTCACTATATGAACTTTGACTAGAGGATCCAGGATCATCAATATTTTCATCTTCTGTAGAGTGATTATATTTTTTTTTGTTTTTTTTTTTTTTTTATTCATATTAAAAATATTAAATATTTTGAAACTTAAAATAATTAACACACTTCACAGTTCACATTAATAATATAAGAAAATGAATAAACGAATTTTTTATTAAAACCGTACACATTGGTTTAGACAATGACAATGATTAGGTAACGTAATGCGAGTACACTAAATATTTCTAATAAACAAATATCAAATGCACAGAGCGGTGGAAAACCTGAACAATATTTTAGACTGATCGAATTAACTACAAAGTGACAATATTCTATAAATAAACTACTGGGTTTATCAATTTATCACTTGTCTGTTACCTAAAACCTTTATATCTTTAAATTACATTAAAATTACTGCTGATTGAAGAATGTATTACCATTGATTATAGAATAGACATATAGACAATGTAATGTTAATATTTGGTGACCATTCATATGATGCAGTCACTATGGAGCGCTAGTGCAGAAAATGATGCAACCGCTAAACGCGCTAGTGTAGTGGTTAGTTTATGATGCAACCGGTAGGTAAGCGCTAGTATAGAAGTGATGCAAAGGTGGTGTACCCTCTCATAGGTAGGTAAGCATAGCGGAGGGTGTCCAGATTCAAGGTGGTGGTACCACTATCATAGTAAAGTGAGGAAGTGCGAGGGTACAATAGTTGTCGTTCTAAAAATAGAATATATTATTTCATATCGCATATCCGATATCTGATATAACATATTTAATATGTACACTCAATATTAAAATACAACTGCATTATTTTATTTATAAATAATAATAATATTTAATTAATTATATTATTTACGTTGTTGCGATTTTATTCTTTGAAAATTTGAACATAAAATAATTTATTTTATTTTATAAAAAACCACTAAGTAATAAAACTATGATATGGATAAAAATTTGCTGTATTGTTAAAATTTGGTAAATCTTGTGTAGTGTATAATGTAAATTGTAATACAATACTTTTTTACAAAGCAGATTTTACTGAATCATAGTGTTGCAAAATAAATTAATTTTTCGTATTTTTCGACTTTTTGGTCGCGTACAACACAACTTACACAACGTAATAACTAATAATAATTTTACAATATTGTGGTAATAGTGCGATGTACGGAAAATATCATTTATCTACGATAAAGTAATTTATAAGCTTATCGCTCTTTCTGTCATTGCCAAAAACCGGTCTAAGATTATGTTATTACTATTTGCCGTTAGTACTCAGTATTAATAATATAATATTAATTCATACAACGCTACCTATTGGCAGCTATTATAAATAAAATTTTAGTCACCGAAAATTCCTATACCATTGTCTATCTGTCTATTCTATAATCAATGGTATTACCTATCTATGATTGCAACGATATAAATATATAATATTATATTATAATATATAATAATTATATTTATAATTCTACAATAATTGTATATTTTACATAGGTACCTAATATATGATATAACTATAATTATCACAATCAATTGTGTTTCTCCTAATAAACGTCAAATACAAAAAAAAAAAAAAACATTTTTTTCATGATTTTTAAATTTTTGGTGGTTTTTTAAGCACCCCCTTAGTTGCGCCATAATAAGTATGTCAGACCTTGGAGATTTCCAATTCTTAAGAGGCCGTCACAGTAGAAAAAAATCGACCGTAAAACATGCTTTCTGAATTTTAAAATATTTTTTCTAACCAATTTTATTTGTGTTTGAAGTTTGGAAAATTTTTCATTTTTTTAAAAAAATATATAAAATCGGTAAATTTAGATATAAAAAATCTGTTCCAAGAATATTTAGAACAACTTCTCCTGATTATTATGATGACAAAATCATGTTTCTACGATCAACGAGGCCTGGGTACTATTGGAAGTACGAAAGCATGTTTTGGCAAAAAAATTATGAATTTGCCGTCGTCATGTGCTGCTAAAGCGATTATAGTGCAGCGTTCTGAAATAGTACTTCTTCCGCCACCCCGCTTGCATAAGTAACCGGTTTATGGTCACATCCCCGTCTTATATTTCCCCGTCGGATATTTCCCCGTCACCGTTTCCCCGTCCAACATTTCTCCGTCAGACTCATTTTCCCGTCGGACATTTCCCCGTCCAATTCACTTTTCACACACGCAATCATTGTAATTTACTTTTATTTTTAATTATTACTTTTTTCCCCTAATCGGCTTAATCAATAAAAAATTTAAAACTAATAAAACTTAAAAAAGTTATGTCTGTTTATTTATATTATAATACTTTTGAGTGTACTATTGAGCTGATGTGAAATATTTTTTTATTTTTGCATCTCTAAATTATGTGCTATTCCAATTAAATATTCTTTTTTATCGCAATCATTGTAAGTAGCTACAATGTTTTCTATCCGTGTAGCTACTTCTCGGTATTTTTTTCTTTTAGCTGGTGGTTCTTGACCAACCATCAACTGGTTAATTTTTATTTCAGTTAATCCTTGTTCTTTTTTAAGGGTATCAATTAATCGCCATATAGTTGGGTGAGTTGCAGCTAACAAAGAAGAAAAAGCTTTATGCCAACCTTCGACTGAGTTGTTTGTTTTAGGTAATCCTTCAAGTGTCGCGTCATATTGGTTCCACAAATCTAGACTAAATGTAGGTGGCCGACGGATTCTTCGTCTTGTTGGTCTACCGATCCACGTATCTTCAAAATAATCAGTTAGTGGACGCAAAAGTTCTTCGTGTTCTACAAAAAAACTTTGTGACATTAGTTCGTCAAATGTGTCTTCGACATCACGTACTGGAATAAAAGCTAATGCCATTAATTGTTTTATGTTTAAAGCAAAATCTGCATCTGAAATATATTTTTCACGAATATCAGACATAGTTTGTATTTTTCGCCATATACACTGCCCAAAGTGAAAAAAACAGCCTCTAATTTTGGTGTTAGTAAAAATATCAGAAAATGCACCAAATAATGCTGGTTCAAAGTCGGTCATAATAGTTGCTGGTTGTAGGTTTTTATTTAAATTTAAGAGTTCTCTTGCTACTCGATCATAACTAGCTTTTGTTTTATTTGGGAGAAGCGCAAACACCAACGGTAAAACTGTGTTAAATTTTATAGTATGTATCGTAAGAAGCTGAGTAAATAGGTGCGGGGATGATTTAAATGTACCATCAATAAACCAGTGACATTGTTCGGATGCTAATATTTTCAAATTTTTGTCCGTGGAAAATAATAAAATCCGATTATCATTTCCCACACCACTGTCATAAAGAATGAATGGATCATTATTTAGTGTATGTGTATATGGTTCAATAAGAATCAACTCTGCTAGAGTTAAAGGATTTGATGGAGGAGCATTTTCTCGACGTCTGATTCTTTGTACAATTTTTTTCATAGCTGGCACTGATGGTAAAGCAGCACATATTGCTTGAGATGAAGATGGGATTTGAGAAATTACTTGATGCGGTGTAGCTTCAATTTGACTAGTTGCCGTTTCCTTTACTTTTTGTATAAGTTTCTTAGCACCAATTTCTGCTGCATTTGGTATGTGATTGTGTTCATCTTTATGGTGTACAACTGCATCATCTTTAGTGTGTGCTCGTCCAAGACACTTATCGGTATTGTATTTTGTACATTTCCAATACGTCTTACCATTTTTTGTATAATCTTTTTCAAATAGATATCCTACAAACACTAATAAATCTTTTCTTTTAGAACTTTTAACGTACTCTAAAACCATAATGGATATTGAATAGATTTATTTAACAGAAAATTAAAAATTCAATTTGAAAAAAATAAAATTATAAATTAATTACTATAGGTAATACGTAATACACAATCAAATTATAGGTGATCAAATGGCAAATATTATATTATAAGAACGATGCGCGACGGTTGTCAAATGTCGAAAGACTGATTATTGTCTATATTAATACGTATAGGTACCTACCAATTTGCCATTTATATCTTCTCAGTTGCATTTATCTTAATTAAGACCGATAAAACTAACGTACTACGGTAAACGAAATTATCACTTTCCTTATAGATGTATATCTAATCTACAGTATGACAATATTACTTATTGTATATAATCTACAGATATAGATATAGATTATACAGTCAAACGGGCACATTTAACAAATTATTTTGTATTGTATTGAATTACCTATCGAGTTGATATATCATATTAATATCTTATATTATATACGACTGTCGAGTGTCGACTTTAGCTAAAATAATTGTATAAATGAATAAATTCAACAAAATTGCAATAAAATTAAAAAAATTGAAAAAAATGCACTTAAAACTTTTAGATTTTAATTTCTATACTTACATGAAACGTATTAAAAACTTGCTTTTTTGAATTGAACGGGGATATGTCTGACGAGGAAATTAACCGGACGGGGAAATGTCCGACGGGGAAATGTCCGACGGGGAAATGTATGACGGGGAAACAGAGACGGGGATGTGACCTGCTACCTAAGTAACCGTATCACACCATAGGTCAAAACTAGTTATTTATCGTAGCCGCACACGGGTTATAAATAGCCAAATACGTCAATACGAGAATAATATTATTTAATTTTTCGATGTTATAAATCATATTCTTATTACTATCGTATTTTGCGCAAAATGGAACTACATAATATTATATCGTAAAATTGTCAGACATCAGCAAGAAAACGTACGATTTAAACAACTTTTTTTTTAAAATTATATACAATTGTTCTATAAAATTAGCGTATTGATATTCAAGACGAATTGTTTTAAATTTAAATTAGTTTAACTGTATAAGTAAAAAAAGGTAGCCAAGTGGGTGTCGCTCTGCTTTACAGTAGGTTACAAGTGAGTCACTACATACCTACTGGATTGTGTTAAATTTGAATTCAGTATTGTATAAGAAAAACGAATCCTAACGAAGACGAAGAGTCAGCCTATGATATATTATAATAAATATTTGTAACTAGAAAATAATTTAAAATTTAACAATTTTTTTCAAAATTCAAACATAAAAAGCCGTTTAAGTAGTTGGCCATTGCCCACGACCTCGTACCTCAAAGGGCCTCGCGTTCCAAAGGGATTTATAATTAACCATAGAAAAATATGGGAAAAGTATCTATACAAAAATTTTTGTACCCATAAAATTATTTTATTGTAAAAAAAAAAAATTATAAACATAATAATTATACGAGGTCTGTCCCAAAATTATCCGACCTACATTTATATCTTCGCGCCAAAGTGTTTTAGCGACCCTTACTGGACGAGATCGTCAACAGTAAAGCCTCACGAATCTATTGGTTACTTACTGATACCTGCCGGACGTATAGTTCATGCGCAGCGTGTCTTTGTTGACAGTGCTTTGTTTACGTTCGTCGGATTTTGTTATCGTTAAAAATGACCGAAAAAATTGAGCAACGAATTTGCATCAAGTTTTGCTTTAATCTTGAAAAAACTTGTACAGAAACTATTCAAATGTTGCAAAAGGCCTTTGGAGACGATTGTATGGGAAAAACTCAAATAAAAGAGTGGTTTAAGCGTTTTAAAAATGGCCGCACGTTTGTTGCCAGTGATCCTCGTTCTGGTCGACCTTCGACGGGAAAAACATCGGATAATGTTGAATGTGTGCGAGCGGCAATTGAACAAAATCGTTGTTTGACTACCAGGGAACTAGAAGATGACCTTGGGATACCAAAAAGTACTGTTCACCGAATTTTAACCGAGGATTTAGGCATGACTCGCGTGTGCGCTAAATTCATCCCAAAACTGCTTTCAGAACAACAAAAAAGCCTTCGATTAGAAATCGCTCAGGACAATCTAGAAATGATCAATAGCGATGAAAATTTTCTCAAAAAGGTCATTACTGGTGATGAGTTATGGGTTTACGGTTATGATCCGGAAACTAAACAACAGTCCTTGCAGTGGAAGCATGCTTCTTCGCCACGACCAAAAAAAAGCACGTCAAAGTCGGAGCAAAATCAAGTCGATGTTGATTGTTTTTTTCGATAATGAAGGCGTCGTGTATCACGAATATGCTCCTGCAGGACAGACAATCAACAAAGAGTACTATGTTGAAATTTTAAAAAGATTGCGTGATGCAATAAGAAGAAAATGACCACATTTTTGGCAAAGCGGTGATTGGCTTCTTCACCACGACAATGCTCCAGCGCATTCATCGAACCATGTACAGCAGTGTTTATCAAAGCACGGGGTTGCGCAGCTCCGTCAGCCTCCATACAGTCCCGACATAGCTCCTTGTGACTTTTGGCTGTTCCCCCGATTAAAAATGCCACCTAAAGGACACCGATTCGATGATAAGGAGACTGTTGAAACCAATACGACACATGCACTAAAGGCGATTCCGAAAACTGACTTTCAAGAGTGCTGTAAGAAGTGGAAGCATCGATATGAGCGTGTTGTTCAATCAAATGAGGACTATTTCGAAGGATGCCACCAACCGGATGACGAAGAATAAGCCCAGCGCCAAAAAATAAGGTCAGGTCGGATACTTTTGGGACAGACCTCGTATATATCTTTCTTAATATATATAAATCTCATGTCACAATGTTTGTCCTCAATGGACTCCTAAACCACTTAACCGATTCTGATGAAATTTTTACACCGCGTGTAATTTGGTCCAACTTAAAAGACAGGATATATGGTATGGACCTAACTCCTGGGAGTTAGAGATTTAGAGACAAAAACCGAGTTACACCGGTGGCACCCTCTAGCAGATAAAAATACGATGACACAGGAAAGACTCTCAGCATTAGCAGTTTTGTCCATTGAAACGAAAATTGCAAATAATTTAAATTACGAAGATATACTTAAAAGATTTAGTGAAGTAAAAAGCCGAAAAGTCCATTTCTTGTAAATAAAAAAAAAAATGAAACTTCTAACAGTATTATTAATTTAAAAAAAATATGTATTTAATTTTATAATTATGTATAAATAAAATTATATTAAGACTACATTTGCAAATAAAAGGTTAATAATTAGAGTTTATTGTTTAATAAAATTGTAAATCTTAATATTTATTAAACAACTATTGTTACTTAAATGTTTACTAAAAAAATTTAAAAAATAGCCTCTTTAAGTCTACTTCGCCCACTTATAAATTTTATTTCGCGCCGCCACCGAGTAACTAAATATTAATTATTTAATTATTCAATTATTGATTAAAAATGATGACAGTAAATATCAAAGGTAGGCGTAGGGAAAGTGGCGCGCCCATCGCCCAGTGTACCTTAATAAGTATGCTGCAGTAGCCCTACCCTGACCTTAATTGGTCGGGGTAGTCTGGTCCTCCTGGTTGGGGGTTGAGCGCAGGGTTGACGACTCTGCCTTGTAAAAAGCTTTTTGTTCAGGACTCATACAACAAGCCTCGGACTAGAGTATATGGTAAAACAACTGGAAACTGGAAAACGAAACAATTTTGGGGTACATGGAATGTGCGATCTCTGCACAAATCAGGTGCGGCTTTGGATTTGGTCAAGGAATTAGAAAAATATGGAACGAAGTATGTAGCACTTCAAGAAATTAGATGGGAAGATGTCGGGTCAACAAAAATGTCTCAAACAACCATCTTCAACGGAAAATGCGAAAAAGGTCATAAACTGGGAACCGGTTTTGCTGTACACGAATCAATTATACATTCAGTAAAGGAGTTTAGAGATATAAATCCTAAAATTACAACTTTAACCATTAAAACAGACAATTTTGACATGGTATTAATCATTGAGCATGCTCCAACTGAGGATAAGGATGAAGAAGAAAAAGAGCGGTTTTATGCAACATTAGAAGATACGTTTAGCATGTCAAAAGGTGATATAAAATTAGTACTAGGTGATTTCAATGCAAAAATAGGAAGGGAAGAGTGCTACAAATCGACTATTGGAAACTACAGTCTACATTCCAGCACCAACGATAATGGTAATAAACTAATCGACTTCGCATTAGGAAAGGTTTTGGTGGTCAAAAGTACCATGTTCCAACGTAAAGACATACATAAATATACATGGATCTCACCGAATGGGATACATAAAAACCAAATTGACCATGTCCTAATAAATAATAGATTCAAAAATAGTATTCTGAATATAAGAACTTTACGGGCATCTGATATGGACTCGGACCACCTATTGGTTGGTATATGGATGAAAGTAAAAATTAAGAAGTATAAGAAATGAGATCTAACAAACAAAGGACGAACTGATATAAATAAACTAAAGGACAAACAAATATGCAAAGAGTATGTAGAGTGCTTTCAGAATATTATTAAAAGTAAACAACTAGATAAGGAAAGAAACTTAAATGTTGATAAAACATGGGAACTTGTAAAAGAAAGCATAAATGAAGCATCAACGAAAGTGTTAGGAAAAAAAGTATCGAAAACAAAACCATGGTTCAATACGATTTGTGAAGAAGCTATACAAAGAAGAAAATTAGCAAGACAAGAGTGGTTAATCGACACTAACAACGAAGTAACTCTGAGAAGATTTAGAACTCGTCAAAAAGAAGCCGGCAAGATATTGAGATGTGAAAAGAGAAAATACATTCAAAACATATTAGAAACAGCAGAAATCGATTATAAAACACACAGAACTAGGGATATGTATAAGCGAGTGAATGATCTCAGAGGTGGATACAAAAAGAAAGAAAGATTTCTAAGGGATGACGATGGCTCCCTGATAACTACAAGTGAAGAGTTGGTAAAGAAATGGGCTAATTACTTTGAAAAGTTGTTAAACTGTGAAGAACCGAATGAAACCTTTAATTTTAATCAGGAAAAAATCAGAAAAAATGGTATTGTGGTTATGGAAGGTAATTCATGAAGTCTGGACAACTGAAAAAATGCCTAAAGAGTGGAAGACAGCGGTGATTTGTCCAATTCATAAAAAGGGAAGTAAACAAAACTGCAATAACTATCGTGGGATAGCTCTCTTAAACGTGGCGTATACAATTTTTTCAAATTGCCTATTAACAAGAATAAAAACAAAAGCAGAACAAATTATTGGCAATTACCAAGGTGGCTTCAGACCGGGAAGGTCGACCACAGACCAGATATTTATTTTAAGACAAATATTTCAAAAAATCTGGGAGTTCGATAGAGAAATACACGTTCTTTTCATAGATTTTAAGAAGGCGTATGATAGCATCCATAGAGAAAGCCTAATAAACATCTTGAGAGAATTCCATTTTCAGGACAAACTTATAAAACTGGTTGGGATAAGCATTTTGGAAACATTTGTCAAAGTTAAGGTTGGAAATATAAACTCAAACCTAATTTTAGTTAAATCTGGATTAAGACAGGGAGACGCTATGTAACCAATCTTTTTTAATATAGTGGTAGAGAAAGTTGTAAGAGAGATGAATATTACACTGCAAGAAGGAGTTAAATTCCAGGAATCGTCCATAGGACTTCTGGCTTATGCAGATGATCTGGTGATCATGGAGGATTCACAAGACGAACTAAAAGATTTATTAAACCGACTGGAGAAAGCATCACTGAAAGTTAGACTCCATATCAATGAGGACAAATCAGAATATATAGTAGTAGGAAGACGAGACACAATAAGATTATATCCAACTCTTAACACCAACAACCGAAATTTCAAAAGAACAAGACAATTTAAGTACCTAGGATCCATACTTTCAGAGAGAAATGAAATCGAAATAGAAATAGGAACAAGAATTCAATCAGGAAATAAATGCCTTTATGGTCTTGCGAAATTACTGGGATTAAGATCACTTTCAAGAGAGTTAAAAATACAATTATGCATCACATTAATACAGCCGGTTATTATTTATGGAGCTGAAACGTGGCCATTAAGAAAAAGTGATGAAAGAAAACTCTTAGTTCTGGAAAGAAAAATACTGCGAAAGATCTTTGGACCAGTAAAAGACACTCTTTCATAAACCCAGTATACCCGAAACAATAAAAAACAAAAGATTGCTATAGGCTGAGCATGCCTGGCGTAGTCAAAACTCACTCATACGTATAGTACTGGAAGAGAACCCTACTGGAAAAAGACCGCTGGGAAGACCACGTCGGAGATGGGAGGACGGAGTTAGGGATGATGTGAAAGCTTTAGGTGGAGGAGTAGACTGGAGATTATAGGCATCGGATAGAGAAAATTGGAGGCAAGGATGTATGACGGAATGGTCCTAGTGGCCGAGTTTACCGAAGAAGAAGAAGAAGAAGAAGTAAACATCAAAGTAAATGGACACAAATTCTGTCCAACTGTTAACACCAGTAATAATTTAGATTTTAGCTGGAATTTTATTACGGTTTTATATTTTTTTAAATTTTTTCAACCTAAAAAAACAACTCGTCGCTTCCTATCAAAACAATTATCAGTTAAAAATCGCTAAGTTCTTGAGTGATGAATGTTCTAGGAAGCCGTGCCAAAAATAAGTATAACTATTTATTATATTATTATCAAATATGGTTATTAATTTGACTAAATTTGTGTGAACAAAGTCCCAACCCAGATGTAGAATCTGCCGTGAAACTTTTTTCTTAGGTGCTGACAGTCAACCACCATGCTCATCGAGAGAAAAAATTAGGTAAATTTTAATAATTTATAGCCATCTAACTTTTATTGTATAAAAACTAAAACTATAATTATTTTTTATTTTTATTTATAATTCATATGTTTTTTTTAAATTTTTTTTAGCAAAATGGTGGATTTGAGGAATAATGAAACTAATGATTGGGGTACTGAAGAAGTTTTACATAACTTGACATTTGATGAATCTAAATCTAGTAATCAAGAAACCAAGTATAATTTTTAATTTAAAATTTGATTGAATAGATAAGGCTACTAATTCGCGAATTTGTTATTATTTTTGAAAAATCAGCGTATTTCATCCGTTTTGAATATTGGTTATAACAGTTTTAAAAATTAAATATTATTATTTAAATGTTATAACAGACCATGCGATGTAAATGAAAGTTTGGGAAGACGAATAGTGGATATACATTACGTTTTTAGTCAAATTAAAAA